GGGGATTTGAAGGTGACTGCCCCTTTAAGAACCACAGCTGTGACTCTTAAAGGGGTAGTTACCCCCAAAATCCTGGTTGGGGTTGTAGCCCCACTCCCTGGTCTGCCTAGGCACAGCACCCCCTACAGACTCCCCCTTCCCTGAGCTTGGGGGCAGGGGGTACACAGCTGGCTGGGGCAGTGGGGGCAGACTGGGGGTAGGGACAAGGGAAGTGCTGAGGAAAGTGAGGCACAGGGCAGGGAAACTGCTTGCCCAGCAGGCAGCTGCAACAGTGGGGAGGGAGAAGGCAGGGGGCCTGGATGCCTGGGTTCTCTCCCAAGGCTGGGAGGGGAAGGTTAGGAGAGTGAGGACACCTGGGTTCTTTTCTCAGACCTGGTAGAGGAAAGAGATCTAGTGGTGTAGAGCTGGGGGTGGGGTTGGGGAGGGGAGCCCGGATGCCTGGGTTCTCTCCCACCCATGGAAGAGGACAGAGGTCCAGGATGTTCAAACAGGAAGGGCCTGGGAACCCGGATGCCTGGGTCCTCTCCACCCATGGAAGAAGACAGGGGTCCAGGATATTCGAAAAGGCAGGGCCTGGGAGCCCGGATGCCTGGGGTCCCTCCCAGTTCTGAGAGGAAAGTGGGACCTGGGGAGGGTTGGAGCAGGAGGACCTGGGAGCCCAGACGCCTGGATTCTCTCCAGCTCTTGGAGGGAAGTGGGATCTTATAGGTTATAGGGACCCAGATGCCTGGGTTCTGCTCCAGGTTGGAGAGTGGAGCCTGGGGGTTTAGAGCAGGGGGACTGGGAGCCCGGACACCTGGGTTCCATCCCAGCTCTAGGAGGAGACTGTGGTCTCGGGGGTTCCCTGCTGGGCTGATGACCCCCTTTCCCACCCCACAGCAGCTGTCCCCTTCCTGCTGTGCGAGCTGGGGCTGGTGCCCCCCGTGCGCCGCGGCTTCTACTGCAACGACAGCTCCATCCGGTACCCGCTGATGGCAGCCGAGACTGTGAGCGACGGTGCCCTTGTCTCCATCGGCCTCCTGCTCTCCGCCACCGCCGTGAGTCCCAGTGCCCCCCTACTGGACCCCCCCACCCAACCCCCCAGCACAGTGCCCCCAGAGGCACCCCCTTAGCTCTGTCTCCCAGAGCTGGTATTGCACCCAGGTGCCCTTTAGTCAGCCAAAGAAAGGCCTGGAACTGCAGATACCCTCTGTGAGGGGCATGAGAGGGGTTGAGGGGTCAGTAGGCCTCCTCGGTGGGTATAAATCCAAGGGCTCCCTGCTCTCAGCACCCCACATCTCCCTCCCCCCCTCCCCCAACAGATTGCCCTGGGTGAGAGCTACCGGGTGCGGCGCCAGGGCCTCGGCCCCCAGGCCTATGCACCGGCACTGTACAAAGAGCTTGGCGCCTTCCTCTTTGGCTGCACCGTGGGCCAGTCCCTGACCAACGTAGCCAAGGTGGCTGTGGGCCGGCTGCGCCCCCACTTCCTAGCCGTCTGCTGCCCTGACATGGCCCTCGTTGACTGCTCCCGGGGCTACGTGGAGGCCTACATCTGTACTGCCAGCCCCTCAGAGGAGAAGGAAGCTAGGTGAGGTGGGGGGCAGCCCTTTATGCCTGGAGGGGGCAAAGCTTGAGGGGGAGCGGAGCTATGTGCTTTGGGACCACCCCCCGTGAGAGTTGGCCCTTTAAGACTGGAGGGGGCAGAGCTAAACACTTGGGGGGGCCCCTAGTGGCCACAGAGGGGATGACAGCCTGGGGGTGGGGCCTGGATTTCCCCAGAATGATCCTGTCTCTGCCCCTTTAAGGCTGGCCAGGACAGCCCCACCGAGGGGGAGCAGAGGGGTGTTATGCCCCCCACCTCACCAGCAGGGAATGGGCTGGCCTGGTTTTTAACCCCCTCCTCCCCAGCAGGAAGTCATTCTACTCAGGCCACGCCTCCTTCGCCATGTACACCATGACCTACCTGGTGGTGAGTGTCCCTCCCTGCCTAGATGGGGGAAGGAGGCTACAGGGGTTAGAGCAGAGGGGGCTGGGAGCCCAAATGCCTGGGTTCTCTCCCAGCCCTGGGTCTTCAGGGGGTTATGATCTCTAGATCTTGGACGGTTATGGGGGGTGGTCAAGTGGTTAGAGCAAGGGGGGACTGGGAGCCCAGACACCTGGGTTCTGTTCCTAGTTCTGGGAGAGTGCTGGGTTGGTGTGGGGGACAGGTTGAGAGCCTGGACCCCTGAGTTCTTTTTCTAGATCTGGGGTGGGGAATGGGGTTTAGTGCTTGGGGGGGGCTGGGAGCCCAGACGCCTGGGCCCTAGTTCTGGGGTGGGGGGGGGGCTGGTGCTTGGAATGGGGTATCCAGACCCCTGGGTTCGCCAGAGGCAAATGGGGGAAACTGAGGCCCAGAAAAATGAAGGACCCAGGCATCCAGGCTCCTGCCCCGCCCAACCCACTAGACCCCACTCCCCTCCCCTCCCCCAGCTGAGGAAGGAAGCCAGGTGTCCTGCTCCCTCCCCCACAGTCAGTCCCTCCAGCTGAGCCAGGCCTCCCAGATGCCAGGGTCCATTGTTTGCTGGACACAGAGGCACCCTTTGTGCCTCCTAGGATGTGGGGGGAGGAGACAGGCAAAGGGGAGGGAGGAGGGACATCAAATGGGGGACCCTGGCTAAAGCTCTTTCTGTCCTAGCTGAGCTGGGAGGGGACAGGGTGTGGGTCTGGGGCAGAGTATAGGAGTGAAGGTGGGGGAGCCTGGGTGTGGGTGGGACCTAAGTCTAGGGTGGGGCTTGTGAGGAGGTAGGAGCAGGGCATGGGGGCCCTGTGTGCAGGGCATAGGGCTGGTGGTGGAGTCTAGTGGATGGGGAGCTGTGTGGGGCAGGGCCTAGGGCTGGGGGCAGGGCCTGTGAGATTGTGGGGCATAGGGCTTGGGGGCGGAACCTAGCATGTGGGGACAGATTGGGCGGAGCTTGGTGGCAAGGCCTAGGATGTAGGTGGGGCATTCGCCCTAGGGGCAGAGCCTGGTTTCCCAGTCCAGGGGGTCCCAGAGCTGCTCGGCTGAGGGGGCAGGGCCTGTGAGGCATCCCCAGAGTGGGTGGGGCTTAGAGGTGGGTACAGTGGGTGGGACATAGTTTGGTTGGAGATACTAGGATCTGGACACCAAGTGGGGGGGGCTTGGGCAAAGCCCCCCCCCCCCCCCCGTGTGCAGGTGTGGGGGGTGGGGCCTGTGCCTGCCCCGCTCCTCACTGAGGCCCTGCCCCCTCCCCTCCCCAGCTGTACATGCAGGCACAGGGGGCGGGACGGCGGGCACCACGGGCACTGCTGCAGGCAACACTACTACTGCTGGCACTGGGCACGGGACTGACCCGCGTGGCCGAGCACCGGCACCACCCAGCCGATGTGGCCGCTGGGCTGCTGCAGGGCATCCTTGTTGCCACCTGGGCGGTAAGGCGCCACCCCCAATCCCTTAGCCCCAACCCTGGTTGCATAGTCCCTCCCTTTCCTTAATGCTGCCCCCAGTCCTTTAGCTCCACCCCTGGTCCTTGGCCCTGCCTCTTGGTTCCTTCATCCTGCCCCCCTGGTCCTATGGTCCAACC